CTGCAGGTGCATGCCATCCCACTGCGCTCCTCCTGGGTCATGACTTGTGCCTACGCCCCATCGGGGAACTTTGTGGCATGTGGGGGACTGGACAACATGTGCTCCATCTATAACCTCAAATCCCGTGAGGGCAATGTCAAGGTCAGCCGGGAGCTCTCTGCTCACACAGGTGAGAGATCCTCTCTTCAGTTCAGGCCCCTGGCAGGTTGTGCCCTTGCAGCCTGGGGCACTGTCCTTCTAACCACCTCCAGGTTATCTCTCCTGCTGTCGCTTCCTGGATGACAACAACATTGTGACCAGCTCAGGGGACACCACGTGGTGAGGACCAATTGCTGTGGGTGCTGGGGCCTGGGAGATAGTCCTGTTTGGGGCACATGTGGCCTCTCAGTGATAACTTACCTCCCTCTTGGCAGTGCTCTGTGGGATGTTGAGACGGGGCAACAGAAGACTGTGTTTGTGGGACATACGGGTGACTGTATGAGCCTGGCTGTGTCTCCAGACTACAAACTCTTCATTTCGGGGGCTTGTGATGCCAGCGCCAAGCTCTGGGACGTGCGGGAGGGGACCTGCCGTCAGACTTTCACTGGCCACGAGTCTGACATCAACGCCATCTGTGTGAGCGCCTCTCCCTGTGCCCATTCCCGATACCACCTCACCCCATAACATACATTCCTTGCCTCCCCCAGAGCTCCCTTAGCCCCTTATTTTTCACTTCTTACTTTGAAATAATTTCACCTTATAGGACAGTTACAAAACTAACAAAAGAAGGCTAAGGCTGGAAGATTGCAAGTTCAGAGCCAGTCTCATCCACTTAGTGAGAGCCTAAGCAACTTAGCGAGTCCCTGTTCCTCAATAAAGCAACTTAGTCACTAAGCAACTTAGCAAGTCCCTGTCTCTCCACGTCAAGCTCAAGGGCTCAGTGATTAAGCACTCTTGGGTTCAATCCCCAGTACCCTCCCCCCCAAAAAAAAAACTAAACTAATAAAAGAACTGCCAGGTACCTTTAAGTTAGACACACTGTTAACATTTTGCCACATTTATTTATCACTGTTTCTGGAGACACACACACATATATATATATACACATACACACCAGGTGTCTGCCCACTTCTTACTGATTCTGTTTACTTTTGTTTTGAGATGCTGGGGATTGAGGAATCCCTGTAAATGCTAGGCAACCATGGAGCCACACCCCCAGAGTCCTTTCTCTGGGTCTTTTGATAGTAAGTTGCAGACATCATACAACTTTACCCCTTAAATACTTCTAAAAAATAGGCCATCCTCTAATGTAGCCACTGTATAATTCTTAAAATCAGGAATTCAACATTGACACAATACTGTAGTATACATTCAGATTTAACCAGTTATCAGCCAAGTGGCATATGCCTATAATTCCAGTGACTTGGGAGGCTGAGGCAAGAGGATCTCAAGTTTCTTAGCAATTTAATGAGACCCCCAGCAACTTAGTGAAAAACCCTGTCTTAAAATAAAAAACAAATAGACCTGGGGAATGTAGCTCAATGGTAAAGTGTCCTTGGGTGTAATCACCATTACAAAAAAAAAAAAAAAAATTAATCGGTTATCAAAAAATGTCCTCAAAGGCAATGTGTTTTTCTGTCCAGGATTCAATGCAGAAACCTATGTATTTCCTATCACATTATTTTTTTTTTAAATATTTGTTTTAGTTGTAGTTGGACACAATACCTTTATTTTATTTATTTATTTTTATGTGGTGCTGAGGATCGAACCCAGGGCCTCACACGTTTGGTGAGCGCTCTACTACTGAGCCTCAACCCCAGTCCCCTTATCACATTCTTTTAGTTTCTAACTAGAACCATTTACCCACCTTTCTCTTTCATGACATTAACATTTTCTTGAGTACAAATAAGTTTCTATACTTTCCCTATGAGTTTATCTGAAGTCCCTTATGATCAGATTCATTTTATTTTATATAGCTGAACTGGCCCTATTCTTATATACCCTAACCAGCCCACTTGTGTAAAATCTGTGATGACCTCAGCCCTTCTAGCTATGTGACCTCAGAAGAGCCCTTGTGCTCTTGCCTGCAACAKGGGAATAACACCTGCCTGAAGCACTGTAGTAAGGATCAACGAAGGTGATGGGGGAGCTGTGCCTGAGCCAATATGTGATAAATTTCAGCAGTGAATAGCCAAGCTCTGGCTGTTTCTCACCTCAGGCCAGGGAAGGGACAGGCAGGTGGACTGAGAAAAAAAGCTTGCCCTGAGCAATCAGGTGGGGGCCAGAGAACAGGCAGGAGGGCAGTGGCTGCCTCCAGTCTGAGTCCCATCTGCTTTCCCACCCGTACCCTCAGTTCTTCCCCAATGGAGAGGCCATCTGCACAGGTTCAGACGATGCTTCCTGTCGCCTCTTTGACCTTCGGGCAGACCAAGAACTGACCAACTACTCCCATGAGAGCATCATCTGTGGCATAACATCTGTGGCCTTCTCACTTAGTGGCCGCCTGCTCTTCGCAGGCTATGATGACTTCAACTGCAATGTCTGGGATGCCTTGAAGTGTGAGCGTGTGGGTAAGGACCCAGCCCCCAGCCCTCCTTCCCAGTTCTGTCCCTTCCTACCACCAATCTTTATAGGTACCATCTTACTACTGCTGCTCTTCCCTAATTACTGGATAACTCTACCCTAAAAAACCATCATCCCTTCTTCCCAATTTAGGACCATGTCCCCTCTCCTCCCCTGCCCAGTGGCATGGCTGCTCCCTGCTGGCCACTCCCACATCTGTGGACCTTGAATGTCCAGTCTATTCTGGGTGCCTGAAGCTTTAAGAACATGCACTGAAGGGAAGGTTAGTCTCAGGGAGCCAAGGAAGAGAGTAGAACCAAGATCTGAAGTGCCTGGAGCATCCTGTAGCCCCAATCTAGGGACTTGTCTTGGATCAGCCTGGACTAGAGCTGAAGCAGATAATTTCATTTCTTCAACTGGGAGAGACCAGGTGCTAAAAAACTTGGGCCTGAGAGTCAGGATCAAAAACCTAATTTGGTTGCTTATTGTCTAAGTCCCTTTGCACAAGTCACTTCTCTCTGGGCCTCATTTTCTTCATCTATAAACAAAGGAACTAGATGAAAAGGGTGTCCCTTCCCTATTTCCCCATTCCCATCAAGGTGACCCTAGCTTTTCTCATAGCACACAACACTTTGAACCTTTCCCTGCCTGCCCCACCCTACCCCCAACCTGAGTTCTAGACAGAGGAATTGGCCTCAAGAGTAATCCCTCCCCTTAAGGCTAATCCTCTTTTAGTCCTTTAGTCTCCTTCAGGGGCTGAGTCCAGCCTACCCCATCTATGGTTCCTGCACACACACACACACACTACTTTCCAAGACACATGGGAGGATGGCTGATTCCCTTTCCTCCTCCTTAGGCATCCTCTCTGGTCATGACAACAGGGTCAGCTGCCTGGGGGTCACAGCTGATGGGATGGCTGTGGCCACTGGTTCCTGGGACAGCTTCCTCAAAATCTGGAACTGAGGCCTGTGGAAGGCCATGAAGATACTCAGCTGACCCCCGACACCTGATCTCTTTTAGGGTCTCTCTTCTATATCCCAGGGGCCACTCCCACTAAGCTTCTTCCTCTGAGGTAATGGGAGTATGGGAGTGTGCCTTTGGGAGGCAGTATCAGGGACAAAGGGGCAAAGAACTGCCCAATCTCCTCCCATGGCTTCCCCTCCCTAGAGTCCTTACAGCCTTTCCCTTAGGTGCAACCCTTACCCATTCCTTTGTAGGCCTAGAAGTTTTCCAAGGTGAAACCTCAGGCCCTAGGAGTCCTCCTCTAAGAGCCATTACTTTTGTACACAGCCCTGTGACTATGGCTCTAACACTGATAGACTCCTGGTCCTTTTCTCCTTCATGCTCTCTCCTTTTTCTATTTTTTGTTCCTCTCCCAAAGTACTTGTAATAAAATGTAGAACTCGGTACCTCTGTGATATTTGGCTTCCATTCCTCTTCCAAAATGACGTAGGTCCCACTTAAGGGAAATAAGGTAATATTGGTGATTTGATGAAGGCTGGATACTGTGCAGATTGTGTACAGGAAGAAGGCTGAAGGCAAAAGCTGTAGGGAGACCTGAGTGGGTCAGAGAAAAAGGTGAACTCACAGGTGGCTGGGGGTTTGTATGTGTACAACAGTTCACTATTGCCTACTGTAGTGAATATGTATGCATGTGTGTGTGTTGTGCAGGGTTAGATTATAAAAGGACTCTAATGCAAGGCTAACAAGTCCAGACTTTACTCTTCATATAATGGGAGGTCACTGAAGAGTTTTGAGCAGAGGAATATGATCGGTTATGCTTCTAAAAAAGAATGCTCTAACAGCAGTGTAGGCTGGTAGAATGGAAGGAGAGACTGGCACTCTGGAGATGAGGTAGGAGGCATGTGGCAAGAAATGCAAGAGAGACAGGACAGCACTGAGGATGTAACTCAATTGCAGAGTACTTGCCTAGCATACACAAGGCTCTGGGTTGGATCCTCAGCATCTCAAAAAGTGACAGGACAGGGGGCAAGGGAGAGGAACTGGGAAGAGATTAAAAGACATAAAATTATCAAGATTTAGTGACCAACTGCTAAGATATGGGATATTAAGAGGGAAGGATTTGATATGATGGCCAATGTTTGGGATTGGGCAGATGAATAGATGCTATTCACAAGAACAGGGAAGAGGGAATGAGAAATAGCTTTTGGGGGAAGATCATAAATTCAATTGTAGATAAATTGACTTTAAAGTGCTTATAGGGCAGTTACATAAGGATCAGGGTTAGAAAGAAAAAGACCTAGAAGTTACCAAAAACTAGGTAAAGGATAGCTAAAGTTCTAGAAGTCAACACTTAAAAGAGAACAAGAGAAAAGGGCCAAAGAAAGAGCCTTGGGGAACACCATGACTTAAGGAAGGTATGCAAAAATGAGTCAGAAGTATCAGTGGGGAGATACACAGGGAATACAAGGTTGCCATTCTACACACAGAAGAGCCACTGCAAGCTTTAGGTCTTTTAAAAGCATCATTTAAAATAATTTCCTTTAATACACAAGAAATATACAAGACAAAAAGTAAGTCTGATAAAATTCTAAGTCCCAGAGTTGGTAGTTTTGGAGGAATCAAAGAAAATAAGCCTTTCCTCAGTCTCCCTGGGAAAGAAGGGGTGACAGGAAACAGAATATCACCAGGCCCAAGGTGAATCCAGTATAGGGGTAACACAGGGCCTAGCTCTCTACCAAAGCAAAGTGCTGGTTTTCCTTGTCATGGTCCTGGCCTTGCTCCCATGCTCGTCCTCCAGTTTTCAGAAGTCGTCCAGTTCCAAGAATGGCTCCTTCCTTTAATTCCCTAACATTTTCACTTAGGGGAGAAGGTCGCTTACCCTGCAAAAGGCAGTATGTGAGTTGGGGGAACAGGGGATAGATGTTGTTCAGGAGAGGGAAGACCTGGGTAAAAGGGCCTCCCACCCTCTATGTTGGATATCTTAGTAATAGCTTTCACCCTTTCTCTTTACCTGCCGTGGTGTCAGGGTCCCTGGGGAGTTGTCATCCTGCAGGATGGTGAGGGGGGATCTCCCTAGGACCTTGTTTGGTTTCCGTCTACTGAGCTTAGAACCTAGGGTGAGTAATGTGTTAAAGCAAGTACTCAAAATAGGGGGCTTGCAGTTTATTTTCCCCATACTCATCCATGTACATTATCCCAGGATATTACCCTATTTTCTCTTCCCTATACCTTGCCCTTAGATTTTATACCTGAAGATCGAGGACTCTCAGGGTCTTTTGAGAGTTTGTCTGAGCTCTGGCTGGCCACAGGGGTTTCTGTGGGATGTCTTGCATCCTCTTGAGAAGACACCTGTTTGGAAGGGAGCTCAGTGTCGTTCCAAGGTAGCACCTGGTCCTTAAGGGATAACTGGGTATCCAGAGGCAAGTCCAATTCAGAAGATGAAGGTACTCCCAGGGGCAGAACAAATTCTGGGGGAGGATCTGATTTGGATGCTTCAGTCTCAAATACTTCACTCAGCTCTCTTATTACTGGACTCTGAGGGTCTAAAGGAAAAAAAAATGACTTAAGTAGTAATCTACTTTTAGGATACAAATTTATAATGATACAAATCATTCAGCAGGGAGGGAAAGATACAGGAACCTTAGGGCTTGTGTCTGGGTGGTTGAGGGAATGGGAAGAATGAAATCAAAGTAAGAGGGCAAAATGTTGATAAGAGTGAGATGGTGAGATGCAAACTGGGGATGTAATTCAGTGTCAGAGCGTGCAGTAGGCCCCAAGTCTGATCCCCAGCACCTCCCCCTGCTCAAAAAAAAAAAAAAAAAAAAAAAAAGTCTTGAAAGGATGGCTTCATCACCTTGACTCCACCCAAGAATAATAAAGGATGGCCTCATCAACACTCCCTGGGTCCAACACTTACCTGCACTGCTGGTCTTCATAGGTGTCCGTGCAATGCCAAGAGTAGGTGAGCGGGGATCTGAGTCCAGGGCCTGTTTTGGACATTTCAGTTGTTCTCCTGCTGGTAGGCTTGACTGTGGGGAGCTCTCCACCTGTCAGGACAATAGGCTAGAACAAGCCTGGGCCCTGATTTTCTTATCTCCTCCCCATTTTCCAGGCAGGAATTGCTAAGGCTCTCAGACATTCAACCTACCCCATGCAGAATGAGCATGTAAGAAAATGTCTCCGGTGGGGTGGGGGTATGAGGGCTCTCCCAGAATCAGGTTAGGCAGAGGCCCAAGGATTCAGTTTCTCCACCTTTTTCATGATGGCCGAGTACCTGGATGGGAGTGCGCTGAATGCCGGCACTAGGTGAACGAGGGTCCGCTACTCGAGCCAGATGCTTGTTGTGCGGTGGAGCCCGCGCTGGAGTGACTGGGACGCTCTTGGCTGAGCCCATCTTCACTAGGGGCGGGGRCAGGGCCCGGCAAGGGTAGAGGAGAGGATGCCTGTGAAAAGTGACTCAGGTCTCAGCTCTTACTGCGACCATGTCGGACCTCTGACTCCAAATCACTCAATTTTTCCAGCTGAGGAACTTCCTAGTCACTGGCCCAGAGGCCTCTGCAGGGTAATGACTACTCTATGAGTCGTTTAGAAAAGGACTCATTCTGGGTCTGCCGGATCTTCTAACTTATTCATTAATTTACTCAAATCACTTACCGGGCCCCAACTGGACTTTTGGGTGCACACAAGCAAGCGCCAGACTCAACTCCCGAAGCTAGGAGTTTCAAACTTCCCGCCACGCCCCTCACCCTTACTCTATTGGCTGGTTCGACGTATGCTCCCATAGGCTTGCTATGTGAGACCCGCCCCCAAGGAAGGAAGCCATTGGTCTATGAGGATGTCTATCATGAGGACTGCGGAGGAAAGGGCTTGGTTTGCCCAAGGGTGACGCCTCCTTGGTAGGTGGGGACTTTTTTTTATTATCTGTGAGCTGTACGTGGTGAAATTTTGATTAATGCCAGTCTTCACGGAGACCTCTAGTTTTAAACACAAATTACTTTATTAAATAAAATAGAACCATGAATGATTACGTTATTATTCACAAATTCAGATAGTTATGGTGGTTTTCCTGAGACGAGACGGTAATCCTTATTGGTTGACGGAGTTATCACTCACGTTAACCCTCTCAAACTCCGCCTCATTGGAGACCTTATGTTCATGTTCAAATACCGAGAAAACAACCACCCTTCTACTTTCCGATTGGACGAAACCCCAGGAAAGTTTCAGAAGTGGAGAGGTTTAAACAACCGTCGGTTTCGGCTCTTCACGCGAAGGAACTGCAAGGGTTCCCGTGTCCGAGCAGTCGCAACTCCGGAGACCACCTGGCTGCTCTACATGCGCTCCTACCCTGGAAGAGTGGGATTGGTCCTTTTGACTATCAATTGCATTAGGAGCGCTTTTCATTGGCGTTAGCCAAGAGTAGGGCAGAGGGCGGAGCGCTAGCAGGCTGGCTGCCTCCAACTGCCATTCTCGCGCGTCTTGCCTTCGGCGCATGCACCTAACGAGTAGTGCTCATTGGACGGGAGAGCAGGGGTGGGGGACTGGGAACGGTGGGAGCCGCCGTGTGTGGAGGAGCTGCTGCCGGTGTCATGGCGGAGCTGAGTGAGGAGGCGCTGCTGTCAGTGTTACCGACTATCCGGGTCCCCAAGGCTGGAGACCGGGTCCACAAAGACGAGTGCGCCTTCTCCTTCGACACGCCGGTAAGCCCATTTCCCATACCCGCAGAGAACACGACTTCCTTCCRTCGCCCTGGTCATTCTGCCGGGGCCTGCAAGGCTTGCGCTACCGCCTCCCTGCGATGCACCCTGGGATTTGTAGTCTCCCACGCTCCTCTTTGCCATTGCTTTTCATTAGATGGGTCTGTCCTGTGACTACCGCCCCCGGAAGCCGCCGTGCTCGACTCGCCCGCTTCGGGTCTCGTGGAGCACTGTGGGCATTGTAGTTGCTCACTGCCCTCGTTGTCGTTCTAAGCCAGGGTTGCAACCCAATGGTCGGACTACATCCTCCATCGGCCCCTTGCGAAAGCATGGGAGTTGGCCCTGCCTGTCGCGCACGGCTCTCCGGGTTTTGTAGTTTCATGTCGGAGGGATGGGGGAGACTCCCCAATGTTCTGGGCCGGGGTTGGGGTTGAGAAGGTGGGGACTGCAGTTGGAAGCGGCTTATAGTCTGGAAGTGGACTGTGAAGAAAACCGATTCTGAGGAAGATGGAGTTAGCCTCCACCCATGGCTAATATGGATAGGGGGCGGGGAGGTGGGTCATTAGTGGTAGGGAAGAGAGGAAAAAGGAAAGCTTTAGTTCTTTTTCCTTTGAAGTGAAATAGGCTGCAGTCCCCTCTCCTCCCCCCTCCCCGCCCATCACAGGGAGTTGAGAGAATCCCTTTTAAAGTATTCCTACAGGGATGCTTTCTTTCTTGGAGGATGTTAGGGCCCCCTTCCCATCCTGCTCCCACTCTTGTCTACTTAGACAAAGCCGCCACCCACACTGTGCTTCACGTTTTACAAGATCCCACCCGTTACCTCCCTTCCTGCTATTCTGCCTTCCTCTGTCACCGTCAACCTGAGACTAGCCTCCAGGCCTGAACAGAGAGGGCAGCAGCTTGGTTGGGATCCGCCCCCCTCACCACCCCTCCCCTTAAGCCATTGCTGGGCCCTGCCCAGTGTGTTCAGCCAGACCAGCTCATGGCTTGAAAACTGCAAGTCAGAGTGGAAAGGCTTCATTAATTCATCACCAGTGCTGAGTATAGCAGCATGATGTGAGGCCCAGTTCACGACCATCACTGTGATTTGTGGTTTGCTTGGTTGCTGGATTTTGATCCGGGCCAGATATTGTGCTGCTTCTCTGAAATCTGGGTTTGGCAGAGGTAAAAAAAAAAAAAGATGCTTGGAGCAGAGCTCCAGGGTTCCCAATTCATGGTAAACCATCATCTTTTATTTCCAACTGAAGAGTTTAATCATTTAGGAGCTCCCACTGTCCTCCCAGGAGGGAAAGGTTTTTCTTAATTACCAGCAGATGGTAGAAGTCAGTGGGTCCCTCTTTATACTTAATTCTCTCTTTTTTCTCTCTCTCCTTAGTAACTTCTTTGCTTAATACAAAAAAAGGTTTTTTTTTCTAATTTTCTGACATTTTTCCTTTTTCATTCCAAGTCAGAAAATCTTCAGTGTGGCCTAGTTTACTAACCAACTTCTAGCATATTTGGTTATCTTCAAATCATAATAAAAAGAAGGCTTAGCTGACCTTTCTGTTAGAGATGCTCCATTTGTTTTATGAACATTGCAGTAATAGCATCGTAGGAAGTGGTACAGAACAAATTGATGGGCCCAAGAACAAACTTAGACAGTGCCCTTTATTTAATATCAGAGCAGAGAAATTTTATTTCAGCTAGAGGATGCCTGTTGCTCAAAGACTTGTAACTGAGGCAAGACACTATTTTTTCCAGTTCCCTCTCCCACCTTCTCCAGCACTCTTGTTTACAAAGGCCTTTGTAGACTTGCTCAGCTTTGAGGGGTAGACACTTATCTTCTCTTGTTCTTCTTGGGTTGTATGTGTTCTAGCTGTTTCAGCAAGTATTGCTAAATTGTTCTCGAAGGGGATGGCTTTGTTGTTGGAAGTTGAATTTCAGTGGGGATCTTATTGGTCAGAGGGCAGGAGTTGGGGGCTGGTGGCTGTAGAATGCTGGACTTCCTGGCCTTACTAGACAGGTTCAGGTTTAGCTGTGAATCTCAAACAAGGCATGGTTCCCTGGAGTCAGGCTTCAGCAGGAGAAGAAAGGGAAGGACTCAACAGTATGGACCAGTGTTCAGTTTTCCTGGCCAGTATGGGAAAGGAAAGGTCTAGGCTCTTAGAAAACTCAGGGTCAGGTGTATTGTTCTGTGCTGGAATTTCTGTTTTTCCAGTCTGAAAGGTTTTCTAAGTTATGGAGATCAGATAAAGTTTGTTGTGGTGTCCCAGCATCTGACATTTTTCCTTTCCCAAGAAAAGGACCCCTTTTCCCTCTGAGTATAATCCCTGGCCCTGGAAGCCTACATTGTTTGATCCCCATTTATTTTCTAGAACTCTTGGCCCTAGGAAAGAGATGAAGGGTATCCTGTGTGATTATTGGGCTCCAAAGCCCAAAGGAGGAGCAAGAGGTCAGATGAGGGGCTAGGGTTGTAGCTCAGTGGTGGAGTGCTTGCCTAGCACATGGAAGGCACTGGGTTTGATCTTCAGCACAATGTAAAAAATAAATAAATAAATAAATAAATGAAATAAAGGTACTTAAAAAAAAAAAAGGAGGGAAGCTGGGCAAAGTGGCACACACTTGTAATCCCAGTGGCTTGGGAGGCTGAGGCCAGAGGATCATGAATTCAAAGCCAGCCTCAAAAAAAGTGAGGCACTAAGCAACTCAGTGAAAACCTGTCTCTAAATAAAATACAAAATAGGGCTGGGGATGGGATATGGCTCAGTGGTTGAGTGCCCCTGAGTTCAATCCCCAATACCCAAAAAGAAAAAAAAAAGGGGGGGAAAGGTCAATGGTAACTGAGAAATGTTACTCAGCTTCTTGGTGTCCTTGTTGGTTGTTACCACAGTCACAGAAGGAAATGGAGGAGAATCTCAGCCATCTCCCGTAAAGTCCTAAAAGGCTAAATAAGTTGCCAAGGGCCCCACAGTATTAAGAAAACAGAAACCTTTCTGGAAACTAGCATTTTCTGACTCCATGTCCTTGGTTTCCCCACCTGGCCAGGCTTCATCCTCCTTGTGTTTCCTTCCTTGCCTCGTGCCCTGCAGGAGTCTGAGGGTGGCCTCTACATCTGTATGAACACATTCCTGGGCTTTGGGAAACAGTATGTGGAGAGACATTTTAATAAGACTGGCCAGCGCGTCTACCTACACCTCCGTCGGACCCGGCGCCCGGTAAGCCCAGGCTAGGATAAGACACTTTCCATAGGGTACTCATTTTGAATCTGTTTGATTCTGACCCCCTGTTGGCCTCAGTTTCTCTCTTTCACCTACTTTTGTTTATGTCATTAAATCTTGGCACAAATGGGTTAGGACTGTAGCTCAGTGGCAGAGACCTTGTCTAGCATGCATGAAGCACTGGGTTTGATCTTCAGCACCACATAAAAATAAACAAAATAAAGGCATTCTGTTCATTTATAATTACACACACACAAAAAAAGCACAAATGTTTTTTAGCTTTAGTCCATTCAGAGAGAGATTAACCACTAAATTCTCTCCATCTTCCCCATTTGTTTTGTCCCTGGTGCTCATTGCTGATCCTGCCCTTGCCCTTCATTGTAGAAAGAAGAGGACACTACTGCAGGCACTGGTGACCCACCGCGTAAGAAGCCTACCCGGCTGGCTATTGGTGAGCTCCACTGCAGTCCTAGTCTCCCAAGTTGGTCTTTCACGCTCTCAGTGGTACTAGGAAAGCCGTGGGTCTGAACAGTGGCTCTAGAGCTC